AAAGATTACCTGCTAGAGGGGTAAAATAAAAAAAAAGTCCTTAAAACTCTTACCAGACCATTAAATAGTCACACTAAAGACCTTCAAAGGCTGTTCCCAGACACTGAAACAAGAAGCTTTTATGGCTTAATATGTTTGCTCATAAGAGAATTAATGTGAGGCTTTAGAAATTATTACATCATTTGAATGAAAACATTAAGAATACTGAAAGCAAGAGTAATGCTGCCCTAAGACATCAGGAATATTCTTTTTGAAAAGATTCCTCCTTGGAAAAGCAGATTATTTTTGTTTGCTGGCTAATTAGATGGTTTATTATGAATATACTTCATGATTCTTCTGCCTTGAGCTATAGTCTATTTTTGATGTTCATGCAAAACTCCTGTGTGTTGGTCAGTCCTTATTCAAGGGTGTATTGCTGAAATAAAGAGTTACAAAAAGTCTTCAGGAGAGCTATAGTGAAGGGAGAATTACAATGGTGAGAGAGAAGTTAGGACCCCACCACAAATGTCAAAAATTCACTGTCAAAAATTATCTTTGTTGAGGAAATGCAAAGCCACCAAATCTACTATCGTTCCAAGATTCTGTAGTCTTGTCACCAGGGAGTGAGAAAGGAATTCTCTTCCTCTATAAGGCCCATATGCTCATTTACTTCTCCAGGAGAGCAGAATTTGACACTGAGTTAGCTAATGTCTAATTGGATTAATGAAGCAAAGGTGGAAGAGTGTTTGGGTAATAGTATGGGCTACACCACCCCTTTCTTTATGCCCTATCAGTCACTGTGCCTGACCCTGGAAGCTTTGTCACTGCTAGTGGGGAGAACCTGTGACATTCTCCATTGCACAGGGAAGACAAGCTCTAAGGCATCTGGCAATCACTTTCCATGCTGTCCCTCTTTCTCCAGCTGAAGAATGGTGATAATAACACTGACCCGATAAGGAAGTTAATTCATTATTTTTTGTAAATTGTTTGTAATGCTTGCATGGGGATCACCATGGAAATGTAAAGCATAGTCAACTTGGCTTCATTTAGCAGCTGAGGAGCTGTTAAATTGAATCATGTTCACTCCCTGAGACTACTCAAATGAGGAAAGTACAGTGAAAAAAAAGCTTACAGTGACTGGTGAAATATCCATATTTCCTCTTCTTAATGTACCAATCAAGCTGTAACTCATGCACTTTTGCTGGAGAGTCAGGATGGGAAATTACTTATGTAGAGTGAGTGAGTTGTTTGCTGGCAAGGAAAAATGCAGCCCTTCCAAAGCTCAAACCTTTGCGGGAGCTTAAAGGATCTGGATGGATGTTTTAACTTCGAAAATTGTGATTAAGCCTAATTTTCTAGACTGCAGATCTACAACTATTACTGTGACCTGTCTTAGAATGATGCTGAGATCCTTGCCCAAACTGAGACCTCACTGTGAGTTGAACATATAACAAGAGAGTTACCCCCAGCATTTAGTAGCCTGTGGAAATGACAGATAGGACACATACAAGAAAAATTATTCCAGTTTTACAGGTATGGAAATATTTGACAGATATTTGACTTGCTCTGGGTGATGATATTTCATCTCTCTACATGATGGCTTTATTCACTAACATAATCAAATTTATTTTTCCACAAAAGTATTAAGTCTTTCTAAAATCATTGAACGTGCATTTATGGGCACCTTGACTGGGATTAGTTCTGTGAACCATACCTAACAAATTGACTGGGAAGCTGTGCATCAGCCTAGTATATTGCCTAGAGAATGGTTCAACGGTTTGTAAAGCATTCCTTGACATTTTGATTATTCAAGGATGAATACTGTAGGTACCTGGGCAATATTAGAAAACTAGAGCAGATGCCCCGCAGATAATTTCATTTGACAACTGTTTGTGTTCCAAGCTAATTCCAGGTGAGTAGCGTGGTGCATAGCAATGCAGCTGTGCCATTATTACAGTCGTCTTTTGAAAGGTTTGCCTTTTCCAGGAGACTGCGGAAGACAGCTGCTATTTTGTATTCCATCCAAAGGCAGTGAAAGGCAAAGGGAGCATATAATGAACTGTACCATGAAGCCTTGAAAATGGCTTGTTGTTCCCTTAATCTGAAACCAGTGGCCATCATGCTGAAGCAGGATGATTTAAAAAAAAAAATCCAAAGAATGTTTCCTGAGAATATTCATGAAAGCAAAATGAACCTTGGTTGTGTCCTTGACAGGGAATTCCACATCTAAAAAAGGTCTGGGCATCATAACTGTGGCAGAGGGGTGGCTTGCAAAGGGATAGCTGGCTCTCAGGACCTTTCTCCTGCTCCTCATTGTAAGGGTATTTCCCTCTGTGCCTATACCACAGCTCAAGCATTACATTTGAAAACAGAAGCCAGTAACGTTATTTAAAAAGCTTATCTAGTTTCTAAAATTCCACTTAGCACCATGATTCTAGGTCACTAATCTTTAATGAAAATGCTGATAAACAGAATTAGAAATTAGCATGACAGTGGAAAGGTATTTCATCATCTGTCTGCTCCCATTCAGGAGTAAATGGGAGCCTCAGCTTGCAGATACAGGGATATAAAGCAGAGCTCTGCTGTCCAGAAAATTTGTCTGGTTCTGATTTTGTGGTAATATACTAGAGAGAAGGGAAATATTTTGCACCAACGATGAACAGCTCCTTCATCTCTTCATATGACTCCCCACTTTTCAGTGGCCCATATCCCAGCTTTTTGAGCTACAAAATACATAAGCCATCTGTTTTCTAACTTCTCACAGGCAAGCATGATGTTATCCATTCAGAGCCCATACAATCCCAGCATGTGAGCATGCAAGTCCATGCTACTCTCCTTGTTTTGAAAACCTTCCATATCCTTCACATAAACCAGCCTGTTTCCTGGGATTTCTGTGTTTGCCTGATGCTTTTATATCCTCTATTTGTCAATAACACTCATTTCAAATTCAGTAAATGTTCTGCATTTACATGGTATGTTATGGGAAGATGTGCTATCTCTTTACAGTCTTTCACAGTTAATCAGGATCAAAAGGTGACCTATTTTAAAGAAGTTGAGGTAAAGAAACTGAAGATGAGACTCTAAAACTGAAAGCAAATATTACTGCTAAACACAGGAGCAATGAGGATTTAGGTGCAATTCATGGCACAGCGCCCTGACTGTCCAGTGTAATAACGTGTTGGTTACGCCTACAGATTTTGTTACCCCACGTACAAATTTGAGTATTTTAGCAGAAAAGACAGCTTCAAAAATTGTTACTTTTTAATATAGCATTCCCTTTGCACTCTACCTAGCCAAGATTTGTTTAGTGCACAGCATATGAATAATCCATCCATTCAAGGAGACTGTTCATATGCCCTGAGTTAGTCTGGAGTTGGTCTGTAGGGCAGTATTTAAGTAATTCTTTAATAGCTTTGCCATTCCTGATCACTGCATTTTATCTTTTTATTAACCTTATCTAATTTCAAATGTTTTGCATTGCTAAGACTTCAGTTAGCCAGGAAGGTGCTTTCAGTGAAAGTGCAGCATGCTGTGGAAACGGCTTGGGTCCTCGGTTATTCACTAAAGTTTAAACTATGGGCAGAGACAGAGAATTTGAACTGCCTGGATTTCCTAGATATCTAATTTTTGCAAGAGTAATCCCCTCTGAAACTGAGGAAAATACATGATCTTCCTGTTTAGTTTGAGTGGGTTTTTGTTTCTCCTTATTAAAGGGGGGATTTCAACAGATTAAAATCTGTTTCCTTCCCAGATATACAAAATACAAAGAAAGTATAAGTCAATAAAAAACACTTTCAAAGGAAGTGTATCTAAAACTTCAAAACAGATATGTTAATTAAATCTTCCTCTCCTCATGTTACTTAATCTAAAACCACAAAAGAACATAATGTCCATGGTGACTGTAAAGGGTCATGGGAAGACATTTCATTACCAATTCTATTTGGTTGAGAAATCCCAAACCAGGAAACTGTTCTTGTCTGGGTTGCTCTTTTTCATGGAATTGTGACCTTTTGTAGTTCATGTGCGTTCCAAGCATTTGAAATATTCACAAATTCATCAAATGGTTCAAAGCCTTGTTGCTAGCTGTATTTGAATTTCCTGTTTTTGCCTTTCCTTGGATTCCACAGAGTAAAATTAGCAGTAGTTTGCCAGTGTTTCATTTCAAAGTGCTGAGAAGCTGCTGTCTGCCAGTTATGCAGTTAAAAACAAGAAGAATACGTAAGAACATCTTCCAACTTTCAATTACCTTCTTCTGCAAATTTGCATTTAGAACCACCATCTCTGAATATGCAGAAAACAGATTTTTTCTTTTTAAAGAAAATACCAACCAAAACATAGGTAAACAGTGCTTGATTAAGATTAAAATTGGACATTAACCACTTTTCACACAAGATAAAATTTCTGGATTTCTCTATTTCAGATCAGAAAGATCCTCCTAATTTTTAGTTTTAAGAAGGTGTATTTCTATTAGTTTCAGCAGAGCAACACCAGTTTATACTAGGTGAAGATCTAGAATTACTCTTACAAACATACTCTTGAAAAATGTTAATCTTGACATTCTGAAAGAGTTACTAGATTAGTAGCTCTAAAACACAGTTATCAGTTTGCACTCTACAATTGTAGATTTTATTTTGTTCTGGTTTACTGTTGAATTTAGCCAGGGTAGAATGCAGAATGTGACCTATTCAAATGAGTTATTTTCAGCTGTCTTAAACACTGTAGTTTTTCACATCGTACTTTGCAGATAGTTTGGATAATTGCTCGGTATCCAAACCATTAGAATCTGTTATGTCATTACAGGTATTTTTCTTGAACAGCATTGAAGAATCAATGCCCAGTTACAAGAACTACTACTGTGGTATTTACTCTTGTGAGCAGTTCACTGATACCAGAAGCATCATTGGAGTTTGGAGTTTTATAGTGGCAACAATTTAAGGTGGATCCAAAAAGAAGGACAGGTTTTAAATGGATGAAATAATAGGAAAATGTAGGATAGTCTGAAATCATCTAATCCAGAATATATATGAGCATATCTAAGTATCTGCACTGTTTCTGTCCAAACTATTCAAGATCAGTTCAGTTCATGTGGTCTGGTCTTCATGGTCAAGGTCTTTTGAATGGTTTAATCCACATTGCCTCTGGCTTCCACTCAAATACTCTCTCCTGGTATTTTCCTCTTGACTCTGAAATTGTAAAATAAACTTAGTTCCTTGGTCCTGTCTGGATGAGAATGGATAAACCAGTAGCAATAGACAATGTGGGTTTCAGCAAGTAGCAGCAAACCAAGGTGGGAAGCGTACAACTGCAGCTCCTTTCCTAACCAGACAGTGGTCAGAGATACTCAAACACTGGAGAATGCAGTAGGCTGTGGAAATAACTATTACAGTGACTTTTAATTTCTGAAGTTTAGTCATAGAAAATCTATTTAACTTGTTAGGTGGATTTTTCCCAGCATATCAAAGGAAAAATACCTGCTTTTGTGAGTCTATCAGGACACTATCTGTCAGTAACTTAGAAGCAGTTTCCTTTCAGTGCTGTTAGTGAGTAAAACTTTCAGTAGAAAGGCTTCTGCTGGCTTGAGCACTAAGTGGTTTCTCCTGTCCTGGATGCAAAACTGTGTCACAGGGTTATCATTAAGAGAATCAGGGGAGGATATCAGCTTTATTATTTTTAGTATAATTTCTTTCCATTTCTTCTTGATTCCTGCAGAGGGATGACAGCAACTCACTGCCTTAATGTATATGCCTACAAATGCTGCATGTGACCGTAAAAGTTTATCATCTATTTATAAAACCAAATGCTTGTTTCTAAGAGTGCCTATTATTGCATATTACAAAGGATGGTTTTACACGTGAGCAGAGAAATATAATCACTTTTCTATTTTAAATCTTCCTGCTTTTAGCTTATCATAGGACAGTCTGCTTTTATTAGAAAACAAAAAAATAACAGAGTCATTTTAAAGAAATCCCCTTCATAGTTTGTCTTTGTACAATTCACTGACAATCAGTAGTCTGTTTCTCCATGGGCTTCTAAAATTCTCTACAGTAAATGTCAACTATGATAAAACTAAGTTTGGAGTTTCCCCCCACTCTGATACTGAAAAAACATGACTCTAGTGATTGTAGAGGCAGAGAAGATATGTCAAGATTATATTAATATCGCCCAGAGCTACCCTCTTTCTCAGCTGGTTCTGGTCTTTGCTGTGGAAAAGTACAAATGCCTCACTGCACTGGAGACTTCTGAGATGTGCTTTCTTCCTTAATAGTACTGTGTTTTAAGCAAATTTGTCTCAAGCCATTTCTGACCAACATACAAATTTTTAAAAGAGGAGATAAAAAAATCTACTTTTTGCCCCAAAATTGACCATTTCATTTCTCTCTCTCTAAACAGAAGTTATTTTTCTAGGGAAATAACTACTCGAGAATAATTTACTATATGGACATTCCTATTCTAGAACAAGAGTAATTTTTTCCAGAGTACTTTAATCTCTCTTAAATGTTACTGATTTTTCTCCAGAGGAACCATAGCCAAGCCCTTACACTGAGACCAGAGGCTATCCTTTTTGCATAACAGAGAAGAAATAGATAGAGTTGTTCTTCAACACTTTTTCCTGAAGTCTCTAATACCATTGCCTTTATCCAATGACAATTTCCAAATATATGTCATTGACCTGGAAACAAGGAACACTGAAGGCTCTTCTGAACTACCAGTTAATTCCAAGATGATGTGCAAGCATGCTGCAAAATACTGACTTGTTTGCCATGGGGAAATGTCTAATGCCTCTTCTCAGACTAATCCAAATTTAACTCCAGTTAGAAAGGAATTGATGGATTGCCACTTATGGTGTAATGGCTCTGTTCTGGCTCTTAAAAGTAGATTCCACACTGTGACAGTGCATTTGCAGGAGCATTTTAAGCTTGTGATAAAACAAAAACAGGAACTGGTTTATGAACTCAATATAGATGTTTTTGCAAAACAATCAGCAGAACAAACTAAGGATAAGTGCACTCTTCACTGGCCTGAAGTGAAAAACTTCAGTTTATGTGTAGAGTGTATGTGAAATGTGTGGAACAGCTACAGAAAAATCAAAGGATGGTAAAGTGTGGTAAAAACCATCTTTTGTTATAAACTTTGCATCCATGCAGAGCCTGTAACATCAGAGGCTGGGCCCTCTGTGTGAAATAGTTTTATAAGAATTGTGATAGTTAATTCATAGCAAAATCCTAAATAGCTTTAAATGACAATGCAAGGTACAGGGTATCGATAAATTATTGATCTTTACATTCTGCACTGCATGCTCAGTATTCCCATGCCCTGAGCACCTGAGCTTCTATCAGCAGGGAAAATAAGAGCACTCAACATTTAGAGGAATGCTTATGCTCGACAGTGTCAAAGTGGAGAACTAATGTTTGCTAACAGAGTAGTGAACTTAATTTATGCTTTGGTTTGGGAAATAAATGGTACTGTCTTTTTCAGAAACAGTGTCGTCTCCCCCGTCATAGATGTCATAGACTGGAAGACTTTTCAGTACTATCACTCTGTGGGCCTGCATCGAGGTGTTTTTGATTGGAAATTAGATTTTCATTGGGAACCAGTGCCAGAGCATGAAGAGAAGGTACGACAGTCTCCCATCAGCCCTATCAGGTAACAGTCCATCAGACAATACACCTCCACTCAGCTCAGCAGCAAACTGTACAGTTTGGGTCATCTTCCAGCTCACAGGAGAGATGTGGTTACTTGTATATCCTCAGTTAATATTTTTGACGGGCTAGGTTTTTTGTTTACACTGTTTGTTTTGGCCCTTAGTAATTATTCTAACTAGATCGCAGTCATGCTTTCAACATGATGAATATTTTCCACACATTGACACAATTGGTGTACAGCCTGACCAGACAAGGTGTGGAGGTTTGTAGGGAAAGCAAGAACAAATCATAAAGAGTTAAAAGAGATGTCTTAATCATTATCTGTTTGTTTCTTTTTTTTGGATGTACATGTATTCCACATTTCCCATTGTTCTGAGCCTTATTTGATAATTCAGCTCTTGACTCCCTTCCCCAAGCAAATCCTAGAATTAGACTCCAGTTATTCTTTCTTTTGGTTAGATAATCAATTCATTCAAGCTTATAGGAGCAGTATTCAATAATTTTTAATACTATCTCTATGGAAATGGTGGGATTTTCACACTTCACGTTATTCCTTATCCAAAACTCAAGGTGTTCACTTTCAAACTGCTTTTTACACAGGAGTCCTGTGGTAGCTGGTGCAGTGGTGGCCATGGATAGGCATTACTTCCAAAATACCGGAGCTTATGATTCTGACATGACCATGTGGGGAGCAGAAAATCTGGAGCTGTCTATAAGGGTAAGAACCTTAATTAAAACATCAAACTGTGGTAACTCTTGGGCTTTTAAGGAACCTAAATGAAAAGGCAAGAAGATATTTATAAAATAAATTAAGTGCAAAACTTATCAGGGTATTCAGATTAAAACCTTCTTTGCAGAAATCTATCCCCATGCTCTGCAGTCTGTCAGGACAAAAACATGCAGCTGCTCTGATTTAGGAGCATTATGTCAGGAGAAGAAAGTTTTGTTGGCTATCAGTATCTGCCTGAGGACTGAGTCACTGCTTTTGGCACCCTCTGAAAGCTGCCTCTTCTATTTTGGCATGTAACATGCACCAAAGGGAGAGTACCTTTATTTCTTTGCCAACCTGTAGTTTTAATAACAAATTATTAATATTAAATCCTTTGCATTGATTTTTGCTGAATACAAAGAGTAACTGATATTTAAAAGCAATGAAAATTGCAGGCACGAAGGGTATGGTCTCTAATGTCCCAGACAAGAGAAGGTGTGACCCCAGGTCCTTCCACTACACTGCACTGTTTGTGCACAGAAAAACATAAAAGCATATAAATAGCCATGCTGGGTCAAATCAGAGGTCTGAATGCCCAGTATCTTCTCTGTGCCTCTGTATCTGTGGGGAACAGTGTATAAAGAAGAATATAATAAGGCTCTTGCTGTTTCCAGCAATGTGCACCTTAGGATTTCCTGAGGCAGAGTCTAGAGTAAAGGAGCTTCTCCTTTTCAGATAAAGGTAATCTAAATAAGGTAATCTCCTTTTGTGCTTTTACCTGTGTTCCAGACCTGGCTCTGTGGTGGCTCTGTAGAAATTATTCCATGCTCCCGAGTTGGGCATGTCTATCGACATCACGTTCCCGCTGCTTTCGCCTATGAAGAGGCCATTGTGAGGAACAAAATCCGGATAGCAGAGACCTGGCTGGGCCCGTTTAAAGAGAACTTCTACAAGCACGACACAGCAGCTTTCTTAATCAGCAAGGTAAAGACATCTGTAGTGGTTTGTTTCTGAGGGAAGGCATGTGAGTTGAGGTAGGTGAAGAGGGTGGAATAGGGGTGGGGATGTCTGTGTGCAGTCAAACATTCAACGAGCATGGTGCTGGGGATGGACTTTTTATTAAACCTTCCAGTGGAAGAGCTGTCAGATCAGGAAGGGAAGAAAGAAACTTGTGCCTAAGTTCAGTCTTGTGCTTATTGAGTATGACCTCTTCTCCAAATGACTTATTCTTCAGCTTGTTCAACAACCTGTGGTTTATTTTTGTACCAATAGTACAAGGAGGGTTGCAGTGCCTCTGAAGCTAGTAGTGCTATGTGCTCAAAGGACCCTCCTAGAGGATTCATTCTCTGTTACTGAAGGTCTTCCTCATATAGTTCCTGAGGATATTCAATACTATTCACAGACATGTGGCAAATTGTAATGTCTCTCCTACTGGAAGGGAACATATCTGAGTGGTCTAGTGACGAAAAAGGTTGTTTTTTTTCCTGAACTGACAGATGTCCAGAAGCAACTGATCTGAGAAAGTCAGATCTCAACATACCGCTGTTTACAAGTTACTTTTTCATTAGAAGCATCTCACAGACAGCAGTCCAACCTCCAGGAATTTGGATTAGAGAGGCTTGCAGCCTACCTTGCAGCCAGGTGTGTCGTGTAGTCCTAGCATGCAGCTACACTTCAGTCATGTGAAGATTACACACAATAGACAGACAACAACTACAGAATGCTCATGCTTGTTTTTTAAGCCACTGAACAATCCATTGCAGATTAGGATCACTCAAGGAAGAGTATATCTCTTGTATTACAAAGTGGTTTGTTTATTTGGAGTCATGCA